AAAAAAAAAAAAAAAAAAAAAGATTTTCCTTTATAATAAAAAACTTTTTATACCCAAACAATTTTTTGCTGAAACAACAATGCACATAATAAAACCTGTTGAAGTAACATATAATTATGCCAAATTAAACTGTGTAGAAGTGTCTCTCTGGCTGTGAGAACCATTTATTTCTTGTGTTCAATGGCTGGGGCTGGAGTAGCCACTGTTCTAAAAGAAGGAGCTTCTTGAGCGAAAGGGGTCATTCGCTCAGAGGAATAGCCTTTGCCCTCCCGAGCCGGGATCTGACTGGTTCCTAGAAAAAGTGGGAGCTGCAGGCATGTATCTGTGAGAGCCTGACCACAGAGCTCAGCACTGGACCAAGCAGTCTCTTTGCTCCCACCCGTCTCATCTGGATTGTATGCATTCAGCAAACATGCCCATGTATTAGGCATGAACCCCCCAACTCTACCCTCTCCCTAAGGACTCGGCCTTAGAAGCATTCCCTTTATCCCACATGCTGTCCTGGAGTCCAAGCCATAAATTCAAGTCTCTTCTGCAATGACTAATTCTGTGATCTTGCTTGACCTCTCTGCACCGCTTTCCTCCCATCTGTGAAACATGAGTGAGAGGCCTCCAGGTGGGCAGGGAGCAGGATGCTTTTACCTACATCATTTGCAGGAGATTGCTATTCTAGCAGGAAAAAATGGCGAGGAAGCGACTATATCATCAAGACTGGCCTTTGAAGATTACTACAAAATCTTTGTGTCCTTTGGTGGCGAATGTTTCCTCTCAAATGTATGTAAAACACTTAGCACAGGGTGCTAACTCAGTCAGTGTGGATGCCCTTTCCTTCCCTTTTTTATGCAACTGCTTCAGAGAACCCCACCCACTTCTGTATGCCTCACTGCCTGAGACAAGGCAGCTTTGCCCTGGGCCCCACTTAAGCCCTGAACCTCAATGCATCTTCAGGGAAAGCTTTGGAGTGACTGCTGCCATTCACTTTTCAAAGACCCCCAAAATGGGGCTCCAAGCCTCACTCCAATCAGCGTAACTAAGGAAGGAGCTGGAACAACAGGGAGTGTGGGAGATTAACCAGGTCTCCCACTGAGAGGCCAGGCAACCTGTGTTACTAAATCCTTCTATCGGATTAATCCAGAGCCCGCAGATCACTCACAGGCTTGAACAGATGTGACACAACGGGACACTTTCCGGGCCTTGGTCCAATGAAGGAGCTAAAAGTAGATGGTGCATGGGCACATGGCACTTGTCACTCTCTCCCTTGTAGAGGCAGCAGGCTGTCTCAGAAAGAACAGGAGGCAAAAGACCCGGGTTGGCCCAGCTTGGCCATGTGGCCACTGTGTGGCCTTGAGTGAGTCACTTCACTTTTCTGGGCTCAAAGTATGGATTTTGCAGAGGTGTGAAGGATTCTGAAATAATCAATCCAAATTTTATTTCTTAAAGGAGCCTCAAAATGAACATGAATGGGATCATCCCTGCAGGGATAAAGGCCTAGCTGAAAGGACGAATCATGTCTGTGGCTTCCCTGACTCCTCCTCCTTCCTTAGTGCTCCTTGGTGCTTTGCACATGCTTCACCCATAACATTCTGCTTCAGGAGTTCCTCTCCTCTAACTCAGCTTCTTGGAAACAGGGGTTCTGCAATATTTATCTCTGCTTTCCCACACCTGACCACACATGGGTTCCTAAATACATATATCTAACTAAATGTACTTTGTAAATGATGCAACCCTCTGATCATTATCTACAGTCTGGGAGAGGAAATGGAACACATCACTAGATATTAACATGTCTGTCAATATTAACATATCAATGAACATATCTATCAAAATGTACCATTTCCCCTCCTAGACTGTAGATACTTTGAGGGCAGGGATCAGACCTACTTCATCCACGTATCTACCGTGGCGCCAAACTAGACACACGGTGAGTGGTCAGTGGTATATGTGGAAAGCTAGAAGAAAGATGGGAAGGGGAGAGAAAGAAATAGAAACTCCCCCTCCCCAACAGCAGCAGCTAACCCGGGCAGTTCTCCTACCCACTCAGCCACTGGGCAGACCCACACTCCCGCTCCTCTTCCTGAGACCAGAATTGAGATTGTTTTTCAGTCTTCCTGGCCCAAAACTACAAAATGGGGACCAGATTTTTTCTTTCCACCAAGATTTTTCTGTGTGATGTCTAAAGATTCAACCAGTCACCCAAAGGTGATTACAGTGGATTGTCAGGGTTTCAGATCCCCTGCTGAATTTCTCCACTAAGATAGGTGAGAGGAAATCACCTTCCATTTGTTTTCCCTAGACACGATGCTGTTTTCAGTGCTGGTTTCTTTGTCCATGCTGCCCCTTTTGTCTAAAAATGCCTTTTTCCAACCTCTAAACTATATCGTCACATTCTGCAGTTCCTACCAGGATCATGCTGACAACAGCCTCCGGCTGACTCATAGTTAACCCTTCATGATGTAACTGAAGTGGAACCTCACTAGCAAAGGAGGTGGTCTGCACAGAGGGCATACAGAATGGTTGCTAGGAGCCCTGACGTTAGAGTCAAATCTCAACACTAGCACATGTAAGCTCTATGACCTTGGGAAAGTCGCTGCCCATTTCTGAGTCTCAGTTTGCCCACCTATAAAACAGACAGGACAGCAAGCACCTTCTTCATAGGGTTGTTATGAGGAGTGAATTGGAAAAATGAATGTAAAGAGCTTGGCACAGTACCTGGCACGTAGAAAGCTCTGAATAAATGCACCTGTAGGTGTGTATGAAATATTCCTTGTCCCCCAGATTGGATTAGGCACCCCTCCTGCCTACCTCCATGGCACCCTGTGCTTACTCCTGCAGTGGACATTTATCTCACTGTTTTCATATCTGCTATACTTGTGGCCCTGCTAAGCTATGGAGAACTCACAGGCAGGAACCCTCTGCCTTGTTATCCCCTTGGTCCAGTACTAGGGTTGTTTGTTGCATGAATGAATGAATTAGTGGAATGAATGCATGAATAAATACAGTAGATGAATTCATGTTCTACATAGGCTACATGGAGAGCAGTGCTTACTCTAAGCTCCACCAGGGCTAGTGATGGGGCTGCCAGAGTGGCTCAGGTCCATGCCTAGGATGCCACAGTAAGCCCACGAGGCCATAGACCAGTGGGGACAGTGAGACTCAAAGGTAAATTGTTACTGCTGAGCTTGCCCTGTCACCCTCTCCCCAGGCCTGCTAGGTGGCTAACCATCAATGAGGATTTTGTTGGAATTCAGAGATTCATTCGTTCATCCAACTAACATGTATTGAGCCAGACAATGTTCCAGGAAATAGGGCACACCCGAGGATAAGATGGGTGTAGTTCCAGGAGAGGTGAAAGAAAGCATGACTCCCTTTTGGATTATATGATGAGAGGTAACATAGGCCAATATCACCTATGGCCGTGGAAGCTGGAAAAGAGGAGCAACAGACAGGGAGTTAGGACACCCAGATTCTTATTTTTGCTGTCAGCACAGTTATCTCAACTAAGTCACTTGGCCTCTCTCTGTCCCTGGGACATATGACTTATACAGGGATGAGCTACCTGCCCTACCCACCACAAGGTCAGATATTCATACTGGGGATGATTGTAGAAAACGCTTTGGAGTCATGGAAAGAGGACAACTTGTTGGCTCGGTGAACTCAGATATATCATTCATGTCTCCAGAGTGCTACTTATTCATCTGTTAGATGGGGATAGCCATACTCACTTGGTCTACCTTGCAGCGTCATTGGGGGGTCTTAACCTAGACCTTAGAGAAAAGGCTTTGTAAGCAGCAAAGAGCACTGACAGTATAACTCGCTGGTGTAGACCTGCAGTTAATCTACTCACCCCTCAATTTCGAAGCCTGGCTTTTCCTCGGGGGTTCACTTAGCCTCTCCGATCCTCAGAGTCCTCATCTGAAAAATGGGGATAATGATCCTTGCCTAGCACACTCTGTAGTGTTGTGAGAATTGCATGAAATGATAGCTCTGGAAACCTCTGTCAATGTTGCCATGCTACATAAAGTAAATTTGAGGGGTGATGTGGTTTGGGTCTGTGTTTCCACCCAAGTCTCATGTTGAAATGTAATCCCCAGTGCTGGAGGTGGGGACTGGTGAAAGGCGATTGGATCACGGAGGCAGATTCTCATGGTTCAACCCATCTCCCCTCACCTCCCCTCACCCACCTGTGCTGTGACCATGACAGTAAGATCTCATGGGACCTGGTTGTTTTAAAGCGTGTAGCACTCCCCCTATTCACCGTCTTCCTCACGCTCCAGCCGTGTAAGATGCCGTCTCCCGCTTTGCCTTCCACCATGATTGGAAGCTTCCTGAGGCCTCTTCAGAAGCAGAAGCCACTACATTTCCTGTGCAGCCTGCAGAAACATGAGCCAATTACACTTCTTTTTTTCCTTTTTTAGTATTTTTTCAGATGGGGTTTCACTCCGTCACGAAACCCTATCTGAAAAAAATAATAAAAAAGAAAAAAAAATCTTTGCCCAGGCTGAAGTGTAGCCTACACCTCCCAGGTTCAAGCAGTTCTCCCACCGCAGCCTCCTGAGTACGTGGGATTATAGGCACCCACCACCATCCCCAGCTAATTTTTCATTTTTAGTAAAGATGAGGTTTCACCATGTTGGCCAGGCTGGTCTCGAACTCCTGACCTCAGGTGTTCCACCTGCCGTGGCCTCCCAAAGTGTTTAGATTACAGGTGTGAGCCACCGATCCTAGCATAAACTTCTTCTTTCTTTCTTTTTTTTTTTTTTTTGAGACAGTCTTGCTCTGTCGCCAGGCGCCAGGCTGGAGTGCAGTGGCGCAATCTCGGCTCACTGCAATCTCCGCCTCCTGGGTTCAAGCAATTCTCCTGCCTCAGCCTCCCAAGTAGCTGGGAGTACAGGCACGTGCCACCATGCCCAGCTAATTTTTGTATTTTTTAGTAGAGATGGGATTTCACCATGTTGACCAGGATGGTCTCGATCTCTTGACCTCGTGATTCACCCACCTCGGCCTCCCAAAGAAACTTCTTGTCTTTAGAAGTTATCCAGTCTCAGCCAGGTGTGGTGGCTCACGCCTGTAATCCAAGCACTTTGGAGGCCAAGGCGGGTGGATCACCTGAGGTCAGGAGTTCAAGACCAGCCTGACCACATGGTGAAACCTCATCATTATAAAAAAAAAGAAAGAAAGAAAGAAAGAAATTACCCCGTCTCAGATATCTCTTTATAACATGTGAGAACAGACAGGAGTGATTACTGTTTGTGTCATCATGAAGAATTATGTTCACCATAGTAGATTTGGACTAAAACTCATGTCTCTGACTCCTCATCTAGAAAGAAAGGTGTTGTGGTCTGAGTGCTTCTGTGCCCCCAGATTTCAATGTTGAAACTTACTCCCCATTACAGTGGTACTGGCAGATGGGACATCTGAGAGGTAATTGGGTCATGAGGGAGAAGCCCCCATAAGTGGGATTAGTGGCCGTAAAAAAGAGGCCTGAGAGAGCTTGTTTGCCCCTTCTGTCATGTGGGGATTCATCAAGAAGCTACCATCTAAGAAAAACAGGCCTTCACCAGACACCGAATCTATCTGTGCTCTGGTGGTAGATTTCCCAGCTTCCAGACTGTAAGCAATAAACTTCTGTTGTTTATAAATTGCTAAGTCTAAGGTATTTTGTTATAGCAGCCTAAATGTAGTGAGGCAAAACGAAAGAACAATTAACATGGTCTCCATTTATCCCAAATCCATGTGGAATCCCACTTTATTCTTGAGATGACCCATGTATTAAGCAGGAAACAAATTTCTTTCACCATGAGAGGAAGATAGGAAAAAAGAATTCTAGGCTGACACGGTCATACCCACAGTGTGACCTTGGGCAATTGGCTTTTTCTCTCTGAGCCTCCTTCTTCCCATATGTCAAATAAGGAGCTTGAAAGTTAAGCAGCTTATAGCTGCAAAAATGAATAAATAATAACCAATGATAATGTCTATTATTTCACATAGCAAACAGTCCAGATAAAGGGGGCCCAGGTTGGGTATTATAGTCTCTACATCTCCAAAGGTGTTAGGGTCACATACCACTTTCTGTGTGATTCTTTGAGGATGTCAAGATGGCTCCTAGGGCTCCAGACTTCACACCCTCACAGCAATGTCCAAAGGCAAGAGGAGGGAAGTGTTGGTCTTGGACTTCTCTTTAAGAAAAGAATAAGGGAAACTTTCCCAGATGCGCCCCTGGTATTTCATGGTGGTAGGGGAGGGCCTAAGGCAAGAAAGGGACCACAGGCCTCTGTCTAAATAAATCAGAGAAAGAGAAAAGGAATTAACCACAAAGAGCAGCAGAATCAGTCTTCTGATAAGCGAGAATGTGGAGATAGCTGCTGGGTAGACAATTCTCAGTGTCTAACACAGACTCCATCTGGGTTCTCTAAAATCCACTCAAGCCTCGAAGTGCAATGAGCTAAGATCAGCCGAAAAAGTCATAGACCATCATGAAAGGAACTGAAACACAAACCCCTTCCTCCCACACCCACAGTGTCCAAGTCCTACCCTGTTTCTATGGGATGGAGCAGGGTCTTAGGTGGTGCTGATGAATGATCCAGGAGCTCCACAGCTGTCAGTCATTCTCTGACCTGCAGGACACCCACTCAGCCAGGCTCCACTGCTGGCAGCTTTCTGGATTGTATTTCTAAAACTAGCCTCAGGCCAATAACACTTTGGGAGGCCAATGTGGAGGATCGCTTGAGGCCAGAAATTCCAAACCAGCCTGGGCAACATAGCAGACCCCATCTCTAATTACACAATTCGCTGGGTGTGGTGGTATGCACCTATAGACTCAGCTGCTTAGGAGGTTAAGGAGGGAAAATC